CAAACACGCTAAACGTCACAAATCTCTCACATCTCAAAACAAACATCATGTTGCCATGTCATTTCTGATTGGTCGACATGGTGCATTTTTCCACCAACACGAACGGGCAGTTTTTTGTTTAGTTTTTTATGTTTTGCTCATAAGCAGAGAGCGCTCGCTGCGCTTCCTTAGACGTTAAACGTGATGAAACTATTCAGGAAAAAACACGCGTACATATTTTTTTATCATGACTCTGGTTTTACTGGCCCATCAACACAATTTAAAACCTGGTATATGTCACATTGTTGCTTTGTCATCTTGAAGTGGTCATGTGATTGACCACGACTCTGAGGTCTGTTGTTCGTCTGTGGCACAGTTTTTAAAATATAATCATCCATGTTTGCTTCTGTGGGGAATACGTTACCCGCTGTCTCTGGAATACCACAGCTCCTGCTGATCATGCTGAACTCCAAATGATAGGCAAATGTCAGTGTTGTGCCTTTTACACCTGAGATACTTGTTTTCTTCTTTTAGGTGCTGGCAAGACACAAAGTGGCCATTCCTCATTACAGGGAGTCGGGCAATGGCTTCATCATTGTTGGTAAGTGCATAAACCAAAGGAAGGGGCTCCCAGCGTCTCAAAAACGCTCATTTATCGTACATTTAGCAGCAATCACACATTATTCATCAACCATCTGTGTTAACCCTCTCAGGCTCAAATTAAGTTTTAGTTGCTAATGCACAACCAAGTCCTGCAGTGGTACTTCTGAGTAAAAAAACCTCATAAAATATGTATGTGGGGGAATCAGGTTGTTAGTTTTTAACTGTTGCAAATCTGCAACGCCTGCCTGGAGAGGGTTGAAACTAATGAAGAAGGAAAAGCATGCCAACAGGTTCCTATTAAACGCTGTATGGCCGAGGATGAAGTAGCTACTTATTATTCTAAAAGGGAAATATTATTGTACATTTAGCCGCTGCTCAGGTTGCTCTACCTGTTGTACCAGCAGCTGGTGCTTTGAACCTCTGCTGTGATGCCTGAGTGAAGCTTCCCTGTTATAAAGCGGCAGGTAATTGGCCAGTAGTTTGATGGTGTCACAGCCTTGTAGGGATCCTTCATAATCAGGACTGTTCTGCCTCTGTTAGACAGTCCCTTTGTGGTGTTCTTGTTCTGGGAGAGTACTTCACCAAAGCTCTGAGCAGCTGTTCTTAGTTTGTTCTTATTACCATTAAACGTGTTCACAGCACTAAGTATTTTGCATGTTTGAAAAAGCTTTTGCATTATATGAGAAAAGGAAGTTACTCTGTTACCTGTGCTTTTTATAGACACCCCCCCCCC